TGATGCAACAACTTCAAAAACCATGTTAGACTATTTATTTGATCCAAAATTTAAAATATAAACTGTTTTTATTCTAATGAACAATAAAAAAAAAAAATTGAAAACGCAACCTAGAAATTAATTTTTTAGTCTAACTGACATAGGCCGTCCATTTTGATAAGATACTTAGATCGAGGCCTTAGAAAGATTTTTATTTTCTTTTTCAAATTTTTTAGAGAGCTATATTATCAGTAGATGAACAAAGTTAAAAAATGAAAAAGTGATTTTGAGTTTATAAAGGCTAAGATATTGAAATTTACCAAATAAATGATCTAGATTCATTGTTGGAGGGGACTCATTTTGACCATATCTAGAGTTTAAATGAACTTTTTTTTTTTGATTGATTATTGAGATAAAGAGAGTGTATATGCAAAATTTTAAGTCATACAAATACGACAAATATGATTTTCTAAAAATTTAATTGCATTATATTATGATACAACCATTGCATTAGATTACTGCTCAAAATAATGTAACTTTGTATACTTTTTCCTTTTTGTCATGTATGCATTGCGCGTTTACCTTGCACAAGCTGCAAAAAGTACAGTATGTGTAAGGAAAGAGTGAAATAGAACTGGGATTTTTTCCATTCTCACTTGTAATAAGCAAGTAAGAAATAATATTATATCGGCAATCAAAACATCACCAATAATTTGTTGAAAAAAAGTAGAGGTAAAAAATCAGGTAAAAGATATGCATAATCAAAAGTTAGGTAAGTTAAATAATTATGAATATTTTAGATTTAGCTCAAAAAGAGTGAAAAACACACCTATGTAAAATCACATAAGATAAAATTATGGTTTGGAGTTGTTATATGGATATATTAATATCATTAAACTACTATCCATGTCCTTACTTAATATCATTCAAGATAATACTTGAGCAATTTTTTGTCAAATACAATAACAATGCTTACTCTTCTTGTCACCTCACAAAAATGATGATGTTGTTATGAGTGTATAATGAAACAATAAGAATAATACTAAACAGGATCACTACATTAATAAATAACTAGAACTGTAACTGAAGGTATATAATTATTTTTAGAAGAAGAAAAGATCCTCAATATAACATGACAGTTTAAAAAAAATTCAAAAACTTCAAAATGTGAAGCAATGGCCCATCCAATTTGTTGTATTGTATGCCCCGTTGGAATGATAAAGAATTTGAAAAATATAAATTAATCAAGCTCCTATGTATAGGAAAAAAGCAACAAAACGCTTGCTTGTATTAAATAATATATGTAAGCAATATTCAAATCTAACCCTGAATTCCCAATCATGATTGAATCTCATTCTTGCTTCTTGTAATGATGCTTTTGGTTTAAGGAAAAGGATAATTTGTTTTATGATAATATTTTTTTTTTTGGGAAATATTTTGATAATGTTTTTTTAGTATAAATTTTTAAGGGAATATGTTGTTGAAATTTTTTGATGAAATTTTTCGTTAATTAAGATTCGTGTTTTAATTATACTTTTATTGATTTACTTTTGTCAAAACCATAATGTAAAGATATCAAATCAATAAAATGAATGAAAATTTCAATGAAATTATAGGGAAAAAGTCCTTTTTAAACTTTTTTTCAAAAAATAAAATATAAAATTATATTAGTTCCATTAAAAAGCACAATTTTTTTAGATCTTCTGAAAATATCAAATTTCTTAACATATTTTTTTGGAAAGCGTAATGACACTATGAGACCCTCCCACACCCATGTGAGTAGGACCCCATTAAATTTTGACACAGATATCTAGAAAGTTATCACATGGGTGCGAGACTTGCGTAAATGAGTTTATTGATAACTTTTTTAGAGATTTGTGTCAAAATTTAATGATGATCATTTGGGGTCCTACTCACATGGATGTAAAGGATCTCATAGTATCATTACTCTTTCAAAAGATAAGAGATCTTTTTGTGAAAAAGAAATCATATTTTGATTGGAAAATTTCTACTTTAAGCTTACCCCGGGATGAATAAGTGGAGTATAGACCCAAAGGTTTTTCCCAATCAGTCAACTTTTAAAGCCACTGCTAATACTGCGGTTAGGAAGGAGACATCCTGGTAAATTAAATTTTGAATAATCTAGCTAATTCGGTAAAAATAAAAATAGTTGAATAATTAGAAAATGAAAAGAAACAGAAATAGTTAGATAATGGAAAGAAATAAACTGATTAGGCAATGAGAATGTATACAATTAGGCTAAAAGAGATTAACCAGTACACCTTGAGCAACCTTATAGAAACGACATCCATTATATTAAGAAATACAAAACATGTCACATTAATGAGTTTAGAATTTTAAATAATTAAAAGTATTTTGGTAATTTGAACCATGATACAAATGGGAACAAAATTACGTGTTTTAGATTCTAAGCCTATAATAAGATATTTAATTAGCAAAAAAACATGTTTTGAGTTTAGAACTAAAAATAAGAAATACTAATTTCATCATTTTGTTCAGAACATTTAAATCAAGTCAAATGATTTGATTACCTGTGGTCAGCCCAAGTTCTAAACTCTATACAATAAATCTTAAAAAGATGGATTGGGTCTAGAATTTGGAAGAATTAATGGTTTTTTCCCTTCATTTGACTTCGGCCACCTAAGTGAGACCAAATTCAAAAACCCCCGAATGGTTTAGATTTTGAATCTAAAACAGAGGCATTTTGAGCGTTTTGACGAAGTACTCGAGTGAAATGAAACTTTCAAATAAATATTTTGTTGATAAATTTGTTGATTTGACTGCTTGGCTTAGTTTTATAAGGTGGATTGACTGACATTTATATTTTTCCAAGCTAAAACAAACAAAAAAGGTTTATCCCATAGTCTTAATTGAGCGTGGTGAAGGGCGGAGTGGGAGGGGGGAAATGTCTTAAAATAGTTCAAGAAAATTGTTTCATGCGGGCTAGACCACATTTTTACATATGCGGTCAAGAAAGTGTAAAGCATCCATTTTAAAGATGAATGCAAGTAGGTGTTCCATCTAAAAACAATGGAAACTAGCGGTCCAAATGTTTTTCTTACTAGAATTATTGTTTCTAGTTTTTAATTTTTTTATTTTTTCATATTTATGGTCTCCATATTAGAGATTACATGTCCTTAAAAAGTAAGTATTAAAAGTCCAATCTCGAAAAACTAGTATTATTAAAAGGCCTGCATTTCACATAGAACCGAAGTCCAATACGTAGTAAAATCGAGTACACGT